CTCTCGGCGTATTGGGCATATAGGGCTAGACCTATATTTTAAAGATCAATCAGCACTTGTGGGATGATGTAGTCAACATCAAACTGTCCGCCTTTACTTCCCCGGGCTACACCCGACACCCACTCAAGACTGGGTCGGCCTGGAAGCCAAGGTTATTATTGGAGAAAAAAAGTGCAGCCCCTCAGGACGTCACCATTAATGTTGGTGCAACTACACAGTTTCTATTTGCCAGTCTATGTGACTTATAATGTTGGTGCAACTACACAGTTTCTATCTGCCAGTCTATGTGACTTATAATGTTGGTGCAACTACACAGTTTCTATCTGCCAGTCTATGTGACTTATAATGTTGGTGCAACTACACAGTTTCTATCTGCCAGTCTATGTGGCTTATAATGTTGGTGCAACTACACAGTTTCTATCTGCCAGTCTATGTGACTTATAATGTTAGTGCAACTACACAGTTTCTATCTGCCAGTCTATGTGACTTATAATGTTGGTGCAACTACACAGTTTCTATCTGCCAGTCTATGTGACTTATAATGTTGGTGCAACTACACAGTTTCTATCTGCCAGTCTATGTGACTTATAATGTTGGTGCAACTACACAGTTTCTATCTGCCAGTCTATGTGACTTAACTGAAACGTTGATGTTCGTGCAACTACACAGTTTCTATCTGACAGTCTATGTGACTTAACTGAAACGTTGATGTTCATGCAACTACACAGTTTATATCTGCCAGTCTATATCTGCACGAACATCAACGTTTCAGTTTAGTCACATAGACTGGCAGATAGAAATTTCGTATGTGAAAAAGGGAAAGAATGAAAGGCAGACATAAGTAGTATTATAAAGTGGGAGTTCAGGCCACATATTTTTTTTTTTAATATATTATTTTTTTTCTTAACCTTAGATTTAATTGTTGATTTTAGTAGATAAAGGGAAACAACCAAAATTAATTATCTTTTAAATTGTTGTTCCCCTTATTAATTACAAAGGGAAATAATTTTATTAAAATATTCGAACCAACACAACACCCTAAAACAATACCATGCGACTAATTAAAAATAGTTCAATGCAACCAAAATATTATATCAACTATTACACACATTTTTTACTTACGAACAATCTGTTTAATGTATAGGAATTATTTTTGATGGAGATTCAAAGTAAGTTTATCTATACTTACAAAACCACTTGAAATAACATTTTGCTATAACATCACCATATAAGTTATGTGGATCTGTAATAATTCTGTCTGTGACTGTCCATCGTGTGTGGTTTTTAGTGGGTCTCGTTCCATCATCACAGTGGTATATCTCATGAAGTGTGCACTTTACCCGGGTGCTTCATGATTATACCATGTGAGGGATGCGAATTAGATTACCTCTAGGAATTCTCACGATTTCATTCCACACCTACTCAATTCTCTTAGTATGTCGGAGTGGTGCACTTAAAAGTAATCGGGTAACCGACATACTAAGAGAGTGAGTTTGAAACACGGTGGATAGGAACAGACCTTTTGCACTTTTGTATTTTAAAAAGATCATTGCAAAATGTTTATTTAAAAAAACTGTTTAACAAACTCAGAGTTTCTCAAAATTGTCATAGTTAAAAAAAAAAAAAAAAATCAAAAGTGGTTGTAAAAATTTATATAAAAATCACAGGTTCAAAGGTTCTCAAATTATTCCTTTTAAATATGAGCATTGAAGAATACTCATTGAATGAAAACACATCTAACAGAAATAATAATTTACTACTACCTAGAAGTATAAGGGGTTTAATTGTTGGTAAATCAGGTTGTGGAAAAACAAATTTACTTTTAAATCTACTTCTAAAGGATTTCTTAGATTATGATAACCTTCAAGTGTTTGGAAACTCTTTTCCAACTAGAATATAAAATAATTAAAACAGGATTTGAACAAAGATTACCTAAAGAAATTTTTAATCAATTATTTAAAAATAATGATTATATAATCAGTAAAGGTTTAACAATACAGCTGTAATGAATCACTGTAATGATTGTACTTGTGTCTAGAGGTTAGGTCACAGCTAAATCTAACAAGACTGCACTGCTCTCATCGGTCACACTACTTCCCGTTCTCTTTCTTCACAGAATTTTCTCAATTCCTCTCCTGATAACCCTAAATGTTTTCCCAGCAATATGATCGAAATTATATCCACTTCCTTTTTGTTGAAAACTATCTACCCAAGCAATAAATTTTTGTTCTATTCTATTAAATATTTAATCAAATTGATTCATTGAATTTAAATTAAAATAACCAGAATTGAAATATACAGTTATGTTATTATACTTTATTGGATGAATGAAAATACAATCAATAGTGAACTTAAATTTAATTGAAGTATAATTGCCAAGAATTCTTTCTACCTGATAATATATTTTATTAAAATAAGTATTTATATTTCTTCCAGTTTTTGAAATTGTAAAAGTTATTAAAATATTTTTGAATGTCTTTTTTGATTTAGAAATTCTGTTTTTCAATTCTTTCTTTTTATGTGTTTTTGATTTTTCATGTCGTGTTAGTTCTTTAATAGTATCAAATGTTTCTTTACAAGTTGGACAATATAATTGTGTGAGTTTTTTACTTGCCATTTTTTGGAGAACTTTTTTAATATACTTATTTTCTTCATAATATTTTTTATGATAATCAGGATTTCTAATTATAAATCTATTAAAAGATTCTTTATATTTTTCTTTATTTTCTTGAAAGTGTTTTTGTTTTATAGTTTTATCACATTCTTTACATCTTCCTCTATGACCATCAGGACATGTTTTTTCTTTAGCAAAGAAGTGAAGAGGTTTATTAATAAAACAGATATTGCAAGATTTACTCATCTACACAATTTCTATCTGCCAGTCTATGTGACTTAACTGAACCATCAATGTTCCTGCAACTACACAGTTTCTATCTGCCAGTCTATTTGACTTACCTGAAACTTTAATGTTTGTGCTACTACACAGTTTCTATCTGCCAGTCTATTTGACTTACCTGAAACGTTAATGTTTGTACAACAACACAATTTCTATCTGCCAGTCTATGTGACTTGCCTGAACCAATAATGTTTGTACAACAACACAATTTCTATCTGCCAGTCTATGTGACTTGCCTGAACCAATAATGTTTGTACAACAACACAATTTCTATCTGCCAGTCTATGTGAATTGTCTCAGAAAGATCTTAATTGTCTCGAAAATAGGGTTCAGCGACAAGGTGACTTTGACGTAGTGCCATCAATTCTGACTGCGTGCAATTTAGTAGTCCGATGATGATGATATTGACGATCATAAAAACGATGATGATGATGATAAATATGATGATGATGACAGTGATGATTAAAGAAAAACACGATGATGACGAAGACGAAAATGATGACGATGACAACAAATGTAACCCACCTACACAACTGTCTGCTTTCCCTCCCTCTCAGAACGCTGAAGGTCAGCTCGTCAGCCACCCCTGAGGTCACGGTCACTCACTTCCAGTTCCTGACCTGGCCGGCCTATGATGTCCCAGAGGACCCACTGCCACTGCTGGAGCTCAGATACCGCGTGAGGCGGAGCCATGGCGCAAAGGACACGCCCATCCTAGTGCACTGCGACTCTGGGTCCGCCCAGTCTGCAGTCTTCATCGCTGTAGACCTTCTCATTGAGCAGTACGGTCGAGACGGAAGTGTAAGTGTTTGTATTTGTAGTTCCTCCATCACTCTTTCTTTCATCCATCCTGAAACTAAAGTTGATTGTCTGTGATTGATTGTCTGTGAGACCGGAGATGGAGATGACTTTAAGCCCTATACTTACCCGGAAGGATCTGGGACAATGAGGGTAGGCAACAGTGTTTGTATGTTAATGGCCTGTTATAAGGGTCTTTCTAGCCTGTCTAAGGAAGCTATGTGGTCTCAAGGCATGGTGTCTGCCTCAGAGGTTCCGGGTTCAATCCCCAGTAAGGGCTAAGATTTTTTTGACATGAACTTTGACCTCTAATAATTCCCCTGGTCTGTGGGTAGTGAGATCGGACGCCCGTGTGCATTGTTGCGCACGAAAAAAAAAATCCCCTTGGCAGGTGGAAATCAAAAAGAGTAGCCTAAAGGCGCTGCTCAGACATTTTTTGAAGTTGAAAATCTACCCAAAGTAATTCAGAATCCTCGCCAGTGCTTGAGAGCCTGTTTACAGCGTTGGGCTTCTTCGGGCTAGACTTGAATTAGAAGAGTAACAGAGCACTTATGGGTTAATACCCGTGTGCCATGATGCTGATCCATTGTTTAAACTTCAAACTAACTGTAGGTGTACAATCTAGCCTATCTGCACTGATCAGCTGCTAGTTTTCCAGATGCCTGACAAGTCGATGCGCCTCTTCGAAGAGATGTTAGCCAGGTATTCCAGTTTTGTGCAGCAGCCATCCTTACTGCCAGGGTTGCTATTGAAGGCTTTAAGTGGTGCCTTAAGCGTGTTCTTGGAGTGTTTGTACATTCCCTGAGAGGCAACTATAAAAGGGAGCTGATCTTTTGGCAAGTCACAGTCTGCACACCAAAGGATGGTGTCAAATCTGTCTAACTGCCAGGTGTTTATATACACTCAACACTCAAGTAAAGTAAGGAGAGTAAAGGATGTATGGTACACTCCAGAAGTGGATGAACAACCAGAACTTATCCACCAGAGTTTAAAGTAATGTATGGTAAAGTAAGGTAAGGTAGAGTAAAGTAATGTATGGTAAGGTAGAGTAACATAATGTATGGTAGAGTAAGGTAAGGTAGAGTAAAGTAATGTATGTTAAGGTAAGGTAGAGTAGCATAATGTATGGTAAAGTAAGGTAAGGTAGAGTAGCGTAATGTATGGTAAAGTAAAGTAAGGTAGAGTAACGTAATGTATGGTAAGTATAAGGTAAGGTAGAGTAACATAATGTATGGGAAGGTAAGGTAAGGTAGAGTAAAGTAATGTATGGTAAGGTAAGGTAGAGTAACGTAATGTCATGTAGAGAATGATCAAGTCGCGACCGTCCATGGTTGCGTCACTGAGAGAGTACAAGTTCATCTACGAGTGTTTGTTCGAGGAGTTCCAGGCTGGGGACACGGTGCTCCGGCTGGACCTCACCGATAAGTTCAGGGCGCTGGAAGCTAGGAACCCACAGACAGGTGGGTAGAGATTTTACAGAGCTAGGGATCCACAGACAGGTGGGTAGAATGGTTACTAGGCTAGGAAACCTCAGACAGGTGGGTAGAACTGGTTCCGAGCCTGGCTCTTTTGTTCACTCGCCTCGTACTTGGCTAGGAAACCTCAGACAGGTCTTTGGGTGGGTAGAATGGTTACTTGGCTAGGAAACCTCAGACAGGTGGGTAGAATGGACTAATTGGGAGCTTCCTTTGAAGTTACTAGGCTAGGAAACCTCAGACAGGTGGGTAGAATGGTTACTTGGCTAGGAAACCTCAGACAGGTGGGTAGAATGGTTACTTGGCTAGGAAACCTCAGACAGGTGGGTAGAATGGTTACTAGGCTAGGAAACCTCAGACAGGTGGGTAGAATGGTTACTAGGCTAGGAAACCTCAGACAGGTGGGTAGAATGGTTACTAGGCTAGGAAACCACAGACAGGTGGGTAGAATGTTTACAGAACTAGGAAACCACAGACAGGTGGGTAGAATGGTTACAGAACTAGGAAACCACAGACAGGTGGGTAGAATGGTTACAGGGCTAGGAAACCACAGACAGGTGGGTAGAGTGGTTACAGGGCTAGGAAACCACAGACAGGTGGGTAGAGTGGTTACAGGGCTAGGAAACCACAGACAGGTGGGTAGAGTGGTTACAGGGCTAGGAAACCACAGACAGGTGGGTAGAGTGGTTACAGGGCTAGGAAACCACAGACAGGTGGGTAGAATGTTTACAGAGCTAGGAATCCACAGACAGGTGGGTAGAATGTTTACAGAACTAGGAAACCACAGACAGGTGGGTAGAGTGGTTACAGAACTAGGAATCCACAGACAGGTGGGTAGAGTGGTTACAGAACTAGGAATCCACAGACAGGTGGGTAGAGTGGCAACAGGGGTGTGGGTCTTCCGGGCTCGATTCTCGGTGGCAACATAATCTGACATCCTGGTCTCTCTCTCTCTCTCTCTCTCTCTCTCTCTCTCTCTCTCTCTCTCTCTCTCTCTCTCTCTCTCTCTCTCTCTCTCTCTCTCACACATTCTCTCTGGCCTGCCAAGTCTTCCGTTTTTTATTTTTTTTTTTTTTTTTTTTTGCTGAGTGCGGTAATACAATATTTTATTTTTTTCAATGGCGGAGATATCAATTCTAACCTGCACAGTCCGTGGCAACTGTCTTGGCGACTGTCGTGACAACTGTCATGGCGACTGTGTGTAGGTAGTTTGTTCCTTTTGGGATGATTGCAGTCTGAGGGATTAGAGCCTCAAAGATGAGATCAACAGGTACAAATCCCTCGAAACTCATTGGACAGCATAGTCTAAAAAAAAGCGCTTCCACTAGCTAAGTCGTATTAAATCCTTATGCTACCATTACCACGATGCCAGCTGTGCACTTACACTTTCAACAGTGAAGCAATTCAGAAAAATACCGAATTATTATCGGTACGCGCTAACACTTACAAATAAAAATTGACCACACCTCGCCACGTATACCTGACCCTTGTGATTTTGGAAATGTGATTATTTCTGTCCAAAATAATGCAAAAGTGTGACGTGGTCATCGTTTGGTAGAGAGGATCAGTACATAGTCCCCGTTCCCGTATTTCCCCCCAGCCCAGTCCATCATCACCCTGATATTACTTCTACGAGGGCTGTTTCAACATCAGATAGCCAATCGGAGGTTGATTTTGGAATAGCCCTCGTGTATTTGTCAAATCTAGTCTTTCTCTCTTGTGGTGTTCTGCACCCGCCTGCAGGTTTCTCCTACCTGATGGATGAGTATAGGATGTTGTCGACGTTCACACCTGACCTCCACCCCCGCACATGTACGGCCGGACTTCTGCCCGAGGTGAGGTTGTGTACATACTGTGTGAGTCTGGTTATGTGTACACAAGATACACCACACACATACTGTTCTAAAGAACAAAACAGAAATTCAGTTTTCCAATGGCGCTTTACTGTTCAACAGAGAGAGAGAGAGAGAGAGAGAGAGAGAGAGAGAGAGAGAGAGAGAGAGAGAGAGAGAGAGAGAGAGAGAGAGAGAGAGAGAGAGAGAGAGAGAGAGAGAGAGAGAGAGAGAGAGAGAGAGAGAGGGAGAGAGAGAGAATCGCTTAAAGCACGAACTCCGTAGCCCTGACTTACCAGAACAGGTTAACCGGATGAGGGTGCCGGAAAGGAAACCAGCAACGTTTAGAGGATGGGACAGGGTGAAAATATCTCACCTGGACATCCCTGGTGCTTAGTCTCACCAAAATATTGTAGAGACATTTGCTTGCTCTGGCTACTCATTGGCTTGATTCTTGCACCTCGGCCCGAACGTCTCAAATTACAATCTATACTGTTTTATAATTTTGACGTTCAAAATCTCTTTGATTTATTTAGTGAAACTGTTCAAATTGCACACAAGATTACCTTAGGATTAACAAATCACTTGAAAGTATTCTTTTGCATCTAGGTTTTCCATAATGTTTAATTGGGGAGGGGGGTAAGGTGGATAACAATGAGGCAATTTAAATATATTTCGGCCACACACACAAAAAACATACCACTTTTTTTTTTAAACAATATTGGAAGGAAAGGTGTAGGTCAAAGAGCAAGAGGTAGACAACGTAACAAGTGAAAGGACATCATTAAGAGATGGACGAACAACTGTCTGAGAAAGTGTACAACCAAGACAAGAGACAGCGTGTGGGAGATCTAAAGCAGCCAGTGTGGAGACGGCACCTCATTGGTGATTAGAAATGTGCACTAGCAAGTACAGATCCTCTAACCGGTCTGTGGTGATTAGAAATGTGCACTAGCAAGTACAGATCCTCTAACCGGTCTGTGGTGATTAGAAATGTGCACTAGCAAGTACAGATCCTCTAACCGGTCTGTGGTGATTAGAAATGTGCACTAGCAAGTACAGATCCTCTACCCGGCCTGTGGTGATTAGAAATGTGCACTAGCAAGTACAGATCCTCTAACCGGAATGGACAAACAACCAGGTATTTCCACCTGGGTTTAGAACCGGTGAGTGCAAAAAACAAACAGCACTACTTTTTTTTTTTTATCCCTTAAATAGAACTTCAATATTTGTCCATTCCAATAATCCTCTTTTTTTAAAAACATTTGTCTTTTTTTTTCCGTTTAAATTTGTATTTGCTACTAGCCCCAAAAGTCAATATTCGTCCCTCCTCTGACCTCGCCAGCGGGTCATGAGACGAGAAACACAGATGATGATAGACCGATTCCAAGTGCTAAAATTAAGGAATGGCTGTCTACTTGGACAATTTTGCAGGTTTTCTTGGACAAATGGCGCCCATACATAGCTATAGTTAATCAGTGTATTAGTTAATTTGATGACGATGTGTTTGGATACTTGGGGCACATTAAAAAATATATCATAAGAAATAAAAAAAAAAAAACAGTGCATAATTTCTTTAAAAACAAAGAGCTCTGGTGAATAGTATGGATGTCATAATGGAAGATGACTCCCCATTGTTTTGTTTTTCCATCCAAAAGATAATTTTTTTTTAAAAACAGGATATAAGTGAAACAGCGAGAGAGTTAGTTAGAGATCGATTTTTTTTTTTTTTAGACAGGCAGTGACGAGAGCCACGTTCTGTTAAGGACCTGATACATAATGATGCTGTTTTTGTTTATTGTGTCACATTGTATCGTATAAATGTCTGTGTTAGCTCATAGAGTGACGACTGGTTCTTGCATGCACAATTCTGGCACGATATACGCAATACGCCAAAGGCTTGCAAGGGGTCTTTTACTTCTATTTATATTTCAGAATGAGAGGAAGAACGTGGATCAAAGTATAGTCCCTCCAGATTTCTACAGACCTTTCCTGAATGTTAGAGGTGAGATCGGGAGATCAAAGCAGACGCTGGGTAGTTAGAGGTGAGATGGGGAGATCAGAGCAGATGTTGGGTGGTTAGAGGTGAGATTGGGAGATCAGCGCACATGCTGGGTAGTTAGAGGTGTCATGGGGAGACCAGAGCAGGTGCTGGGTAGATAGAAGGGAGATAGGGAGATGATGGCAAAGGCTGGGTAGTTGGAGATGAGGGGACATAGGAAGATTTGGGCAGATGTTGGGTGGAGTTAAAGGTGAGATCGGGAAATCAGAGCTTTGTTGGATAGAGTTAGAGGTCAGATGTGGAGATTATGGTAGACTGTGTATGGTGCTGAGATAGGGAGATCAGGGTAGACTTTTGGTATAGTGGTGAGATTTAAGGATGAAGGCAGACTTTTGATTAGGAACTGAGATAGAAGGATGAAAGCAGATTGCGGGTGTAGATGTGAGATGGAAGGATGAAGTCGGGATGTGGGTGTAGAAGTGAGATGGGAAGATCAATCCAGAATTTGCGTGTAGAGGTAACACTGCTTCTCATTAGTTCTTCTCTCCCGTATTCCAAGGCAACCCTTCCACTGACGGATACATCAACGCCCTCTTTGTGGACGGCTTCCGGCGACAGCGCGAGTTCCTGGTCACACAGTGCCCGCTCAACAACACGGTCTATGCCTTCTGGAGAATGGTCTATGACTATCAGGTAGTTGTCACAGCTTCTGCTTCCTCCGCTTGTTTCTGTAGTTGGTTATGGGTGATTGTTTATCGCCACGTGGTGTAATTTTTCTTCTGCTTCTCCTTCTTCTTAACGTTCAGCAGCTTTAAACTCTGGCGCAGAGTTCCAATTGTTTGTTCAGGTCTGGCCAGATTCTCTTTGTTAAAGACTACATGCCACAAGTGCCATTGACTCGGATTGATTTATGTGAAAGACTGCTTGACATCAAGGAAAAAGGGGAAGGGGCGGGGCACTTAATATTGATTCTCTTTGCCAACCGATGTTCACGTCACAGTCTTGTGTTATTTTGGAGAGGAATAATCACATTACCAAAATTACAAGGGTCAGGTATACACAGCGAGGTTGATCAATTCGTATTTGTGTTAGCGGAAACCGATAACATTAGAGAGGGTACCAGGTGATTTGTTTCTTCCTCGTTCCTTCACTGTTGAAAGTATACGTGCTCAGCTAGCATCATAGTACTAGGAAATGGCAGTTTGAGGTTTGAACAACGGATCAACATCCTGGCACACGGGTAGTAACCGATAAGTGCTCCAGTCTTCTTCTAACTCAAGTCTGAGTCCGAAGAAAGCTAAACAGGAGTTCCAGAAAGAAGATGAAAAACGAGGAGACGGAGATTAAAGAGGAATGGTAAATAGAAGCATTGAAACTGTTGAAATCTCTTATGGTGTTCGTTCACAGGTGCAGTCTATTGTTCAACTAGGAACCTTCAGTGGACACAACCAGGCACAGTACATCCCCGTCACTGGTTCCCGGAGGTTCGAGTACCTGCTGGTGGAGCTGGTCAACGTGAGCCTCCAGCGGTCTATCACCATCAGGAACTTGAAGCTGTGTTCGGATACCTTGGCAGGAGTGGAGAACAGAGCTGTTAGACATGTCAGTGTGGTAGTCATGTATTCAAATCTGGTTTGTGTGTATCGACAACAGAGCTGTTAGACATGTCAGTGTGGTAGTCATATGTTCAAATCTGGTTTGTGTGTAGAGAAAATTGTGGAGAGAGGGAGCGCAGGAGAGGGGAGAGAGAGAGAGCTAGTGAGCGAGTGAGAGCTAGTGAGCGAGCGAGAGCGAGCACTAGGAAGAGAAGGCGAGCGAGATAGAGCGCACGAAAGTGAGAGAGAGTGTGCGCACTTGAAGAAGAGAGAGCGAGCGGGAGAGAGAGAGAGAGAGCAAGAAAGAGAGAGCAAGCAAGAGAGACAGAGAGAGTGCAAAAAAAAGGGAAAGAGAGAGAACATGTGAGGTAGAGAAAGAGAGCAAGGGAGAGAAAGAGCGAGCAAGAGAGGAAGCGAGCGAGAGAGAGAGAGAGAGCAAAAGATCTTTATTTCTAAAGTTTTATATATTGGACACGCATGCTCGTCTTACATTGGGCCCTTCTGACCTTTAATGTTTCATCCAGAAGTTGTAGTGTATATATCAAACATGTTCATATATCATAATTCATAGTAGGGATATAAAGTAAAAATGCAAAAGCATGGATTGCAAATGCATACTTTCAAATATGAATGCAATAAATACACATTGCAGATATGCACACACACATATACGACACACTTATACACATACAGTGACGACATAATATACCTTAAACAGGCACACACAATCATAGATACAGAACATACACACACATACAGCTCATATACACATACACACAGATACAACACATACACACAGTTACAACTATAATCACAGATACAACACATACACATAAATACAACACATACACATAATTACAACACATACATAGATACAACAGATACAACACATACACACAGACACAACACATACACACAGATACAACACATACACACAAATACAATACATACACACAGATATAACATATACACGCAGATTTGTACAGCCAGAGTAACTAACACTGAATTCTTGAAAGAGGCTAATGAAAGTAGATCTCTATATACAACAATAAGAAAGAGACAAACACTGTTCTTTGGCCACATAATGAGAAAAGAGCCATTGGAGAAAATCGTGACAACTGGAAAGATCAGTGGGAAAAAGGGGTAGAGGCAGACCAAGCGAAATGATGCTAGATGGGTTAAAATGATGGCATGGAGGGATATGATCAAAAGAGCTGTTCCAGGGATCGTGATCTGTGTAGGTGGTACATGAGCGCCTACGCCAGTTGGCAGGGCACATGATGATGATGTACACACTGCTCATGTAAAAATAAACTTTCTCAACTTTTTGTTTTGTTTTTGGCTACATCATGGCCACTCCCGGCGGTGAGCGGAACCGAAACATCTTTAAAGATTGTTTTCACCGCTACTGTGATAGACATTTTGTAGTAGTAGTATCACCTTCTAAGATACTTTGTGATGAGTACCGGCACCATTTTTCCCTAGGACATAAAGCCCACTATAAACTTATTTTCTTGGCTGCCTGGTCGAACCAGCCTTGAATGGGTATCAGGTGCAGCCCTGGGAAGTAAAGGTGGCAGGCGTGATGCTGACCACATCATCCAACAAAGTGCCGATTTATCTTCTACAAAATACAGGTCTAGCCCTATATGCCCAGTTCGCCTAAAGGCATGGACAAGGGTCCTTTACTTTTGCTTTATAAACATATTTGTGTATGCTCTTGTTGTTTGTTTTAGTTTCAGCTGGCACACGGACAGGAGGACAACACAGCGGCACCCGTAAGCCAGGATTCTTGCCCTAACAGTCCCGCAGAAATCATTCACCTCCTTGAGCTTGTCATGGCTTGGCAGAAGGCGGCAAACAGGTAGTTCTAGTCCAGTATTTAGTGCCGTGCCATGCTATGATATAGAGATTCAGCCACATCAGGCGGCACGGTAGAGGGGACGGCATAATTAGTGAAAACAAAATACAGTTTGAGTTTTTGATCTGACAGCGCGAATATATTTGGGGTGGTATTTTGTAGACTTGCATCATACTGGGAAAATCTACAGACCGAGACTTCTAATAATACCATAGTCAGTTCCAAAAATCATGCCCAACTTTGAAAATCTGTAAATCAATAACCATTGAGTGTAAATTGTTGAAATCTGGCATGCAACCTGTCGTTAATCATGTCCTTGTGAGCATTTTTTGTAAATACATGAACAAACATATAATTTTAAATTTCACTTATTTGCTGTTTAAAAAAAAAAAACCTCACCAGTTGGAAGCAAACAAGTAGCATTCTCACAGTAACTGAAGTAAATTTAGTAAGGGGAGCTTTTCAAAACCTCGAACTGCACGTGTGTCATTCTCGAGTGGTCAACCCCAGCAGTTGTCTCCTGGGAGTTGTAAGATAACATAATTTGTCATTGTCTGCCATATAGGCTATCAAAATAATTTTCATGCACCAATACACATATGAACTGATTTCCAAACAATATCCATGCAGAAAACAATTTCTGTATGTTTTATAGTTCAGGGGTACACAAATTGTTAGTAAAAAAAAAAAAAAAAATCAAAGAAAATTGGCACTTAAAAAAAAGCAGCAGCAGTAAAATCATAAGGACGTGTGAAATGTAAGGTCACGTGCAAAATTTCCTATAGATCTAAACAAGAGTTTTCGAGATATTTCTGAGGGCGCAGGTTTTCAATTGTTCTATTACAGAAACATCGGGAATTTGAACTTCTGATGCACTGTTCCGGCAATGGAGGATGGCTATTGTATTTACTGTTTTCTTTAGGAATATTATTTGTAGAGAAAGGCGGGGGGGGGGGGGGGGGGGGGGGGGGGGGGTCTTTAAACAATCTTATGACATTACCATGTGTGCTTCTTCCGTGACGTCACGTGTTTAACACTCTTGACATTCTTGTATTGACAGGTTACAAAACAGTGACGTAGTTATTGAAATTTCTAACAGACTTTTTAAGTTCTCATTTGAAGCGTCCTGATAATTAGTTAATGTGAAGTAAAGCCGGCCGGTGTAATGCTGACTACATCAGCTTTAAAAAACCGATTGGTGTATAAAATATAGGTCTAGCCCTACATGCCCAATACGCTTGAAGGTTCGGTCAAGGATCCTTCATTTTGACTTTAATAATATCATCATCATCATGTAGAAGTCCTTTGCAGAACGTCGCTCTCATCACGGTCTGCCTGAAATAATAGTAAGTTACTTGAGAGAAATGATTTCATTCGCCTCTTTGCTGTTATAAAGTGAGTTGCGTATCCTTTACAGGACATTGCAGAACCAACCCCAGCATTTTTTGGTTGTGGTTTTTCTAGCCAAATTAGGTCCAGTAGTTTGCCAATTCTTCCTGGACGGTCGGCTTCTCGATACGACTGTCGACACCAACACAAGGTGCAAGGCCTGCAGTCGGGATCGAACTCGGCACCCCGGGATTACGATGCGCGTTCACAACGCCTAAGCCACAGATGTCGACCTCTTTACAGTGGTGTATCATTATTTCTTTATTAGGGATTCAAATATTTTTTACAACGGAGGGGAGGAGAGGGCTGCGTGGTCTTGAGGCATGGTGTCCGTCTCGAATGCTGGAGGTTCCGGGTTCGCTTTGATTTTTTTTCACGTGGACTTGGACTTCTAGTATTTCCCCCTGGTCTCTGGGTATTGAGACCGGACGCCCGTGTGCATTGTTGCGCACGTAAAAAATACCTTGGTACTTGGAAATCGAAAAGAGTAGCCTAACCGCGCTGCCCTGGCAAATTGAAATCTATTTCAGGATCCTCGCCGGTGCTACAAAGCCTGTGCACTGCTGAACTTCTTCGGACTCAGACTTGAGTTAGAAGAAGAACAGAGCACTTATGGGTTACTACCCGTGTTCCATGATGTTGATCAGTTATTCAAACTTCAAACTTACAACAGTCATGTTTTGCAGGCGAACTCGACCAATCGTTGTCTGCTGCACAAACGGAGCCACTCACTGTGGAGTCTTTTGTTGCTCTGCGGTGCTGTGTGAGCGTCTACGTGAGGACCAGGAGGTGGATCTCTACCACACGGTGAAACACGTCAAGCGGAGACGACCACAGTTCATTGCTGACTTTGTGAGTTTTGTCAAGTGTGCATGTATATGTGCATTGTTGTAGATCTTCTTCTTCTTCTTCTCGTTCACCAGCTGTACACTCTAGCGGAAAGTTCTGGTTGTTCATCCACTTTTGGACTACAGTCGTTTTCCGGAACCTGAGTGTTGCATGTGCATCTGTTTTACAGAACTGACTCATTTGTATGCAGACTTCTGGTTCCTTACCTCTCAGGCAGATGCAATCCGACTTCGAAGGCAGCTCCTAATTAGTCGACTCTTACGACATGCTTTTGGGGAGGCATTGGGTCTATTCTTGTTTTCTCCACAATAGGGCCCCGGAACCCACACTTGTAGATGTTTCTGATTGTAGATATTTCTGATTGTAGATGTTCCTAATCATTGCGGATGCCTCTACTTTCTTATTCTTATAGAGGTTCTGATATTTCGGATTCTTGTAGATGTTTTGGCTAACCTCCAAATAAAGGTCCTAAATTATCGAGGCCGAAAATATACCCAACAGGGCCTCAGTCACGTGTCAATTGTGAACTTCCGGCGACTTAAATTGCGTACTTTCGGCGACTTCCGCCACCGTCCACGCAGCATTGATTAGGGCTAAACTAGATGGCTGGGACTCATGAGCAGTAGCTACCGCATCTCCTGCAGCTTCCTTCATTTTATTTGCTCATGAGTCCTAACCATCTAGTTTAGCCCTAATCCATGCCGCGTTGAGCTGCGTGGGGGATACTCTCGGAAGTCCCCGGAAGTGCGCAATTCGGCAGTGGCGAAATAGTCCCCGGAAGTGCGCAATTGACACGCGACGGAGGCCCTGTTAGGGTATATTTTCGGCCTTGATAATTTGGGACCGTTATTTGGAGGATAGCCGAAGTTTCTAACAATTGTAGATTCTGATTTACTTTTGAAAATGTTTCGATAATTGTGGATATCTCTGATTTTGGTAAAATTGTTTACTAACTATAGCTATTTTTGACCGTTGTAGATGTTTCTGATTCTTGATGATTTTTTAAATTTTGGCATCTGTTTCTGACTCTTGTAGATGTTTTTGACTCTTGTAGGCTTCTGCCTCTTGTAGGTTTCTGACTCTTGTAGGTTTCTGACTCTTGTAGGTTTCTGACTCTTGTAGATGTTTCTGATTATTGTAGATGTTTCTGACTCTTGTGTAGGTTTCTGACTCTTGTGTAGGTTTCTGACTCTTGTAGATGTTTCTGACTCTTGTAGATGTTTCTGACTCTTGTAGATGTTTCTGACTCTTGTAGATGTTTCTGACTCTTGTAGATGTTTCTGACTCTTGTAGGTTTCTGACTCCTGTAGATGTTTCTGATTCCTGTAGATGTTTCTGATTATTGCAGATGTTTCTAATTATTGTAGATGTTTCTGACTCTTGTAGATGTTTCTGACTCCTGTAGATGTTTCTGATTTTTGTAGATGTCTCTGATTACTGTAGATGTTTCTGATTATTGTAGATTTTTCTGATGATTGTAGGTTTCTGGCTCTTGTAGATGTTTCTGATGATTGTAGATGTTTCTGATGATTGTAGATGTTTCTGATTGTTGTAGGTTTCTTACTCTTGTAGGTTTCTGACTCTTGTCGGTTTCTGACTCTTGTAGGTTTCTGACTCCTGTAGATGTTTCTAATTATTGTAGATGTTTCTGATTATTGTAGATGTTTCTAATTATTGTAGATGTTTCTGACTCTTGTAGATGTTTCTGACTCTTGTAGGTTTCTGACTTCTGTAGATGCTTCTAACTCTTGTAGATGTTTTTGATTATTGTAGATGTTTCTATTTATTGTAGATGTTTCTGATTATTGTAGATGTTTCTGACTTTTGTAGATGTTTCTGACTCTTGTAGATGTTTCTGATGATTGTAGGTTTTTGACTCTTGTAGATGTTTCTGATAATTGTAGATGTTTTTGATGATTGTAGATGTTTCTGACTCTTGTAGGTTTTTGGCTCTTGTAGGTTTCTGACTCTTGTAGGTTTTTGGCTCTTGTAGATGTTTCTGACTCTGTGTGTCCCCACACATATTGATAGTTCTGTCGGTGTCCCCACACATATTGATAGTTCTGTCGGTGTCCCCACACATATTGATAGTTCTGTCGGTGTCCCCACACATACTGATAGTTCTGTCGGTGTCCCCACACATATTGATAGTTCTGTCGGTGTCCCCACAGGACCAGTACCGCTTCCTGTACCAGGTGTTGTTGGAGTACATGGATAATTTCCTTGATAATGGAGGTGAGGTGAAGGACGGAGGTGAGGGCACGCTGACTTCAAGAGGTAGGGAATAAGCCGACCAGTGAATCCTCCAGCTGACTGTGTAGTAAGCAGTCGTAAAGTACTGAGCGTAAAATTGCCTGCTGAAATTATAAACATCCAAAACATGAGAGTGGCTGGTTCTGCAAAATCATGGAAAAGAAAGTAGACTAAATTTCTTTCTTATCTGATAAATAAAGCGTGTGGGAAAAGCAAAGAGCTAAAAACATGGATGGCTTGTTCATGTAGATAAAGCACTAAGGTAACCCATGATTTTGGTGATTATATGAAATGGCGAAATATCTACACTAATCTAGAGGGCACATGCTGATGTACTATGTTTCTATTTTGTCCTTCCAAAAACCAACCTACTTTCCTGGGAATTCTCTACAGAGGAAAGTGACTCGGACAACTATGTCCAAGACTCGGCCGCTCAGACAGAAGTGGACCCTGTCCCTAGTGGTGCCCGAGATGCTTCTTGTGGGGCACCAGAGGTCCTGATCTGCCACGAAGACCAGACCCTGGGACCGCCCAGACGTGCATTCCAAGATGAGGGCTGCAGGCAGAGATGCTTATCGGCTGGGGTGCCTCAAAGAAATCCCAGACCTCAGACTGGCGGATCAACAGAATCAGGAAGATGTCCCTGTGAAGGAAAATACGTCCGGGAAGTCTTGACCTGCCGGGATGCAGCTGCCAAAGATCGCTGGTGTTCATGCGGTAGATGAATTCATTGTCTCTTTGTCTCGTTTGGTTTCACTGTACCAGAGGCTAACAATGAGCTATATGACTTAGTAAGCTATATGAGTTAGTGAGCTATATGAGTTAGTAAGCTATATGAGTTAGTGAGCTATATGAGTTAGTGAGCTATATGAGTTAGTGAGCTGTATGAGTTAGTGAGCTATATGAGTTAGTGAGCTATATGAGATAGTGAGCTATATGACTTAGTGAGCTATATGAGTTAGTGAGCTATATGAGTTAGTGAGCTATATGAGTTAGTGAGCTATATGAGTTAGTGAGCTATATGAGTTAGTGAGCTATATGAGTTAGTGAGCTATATGAGTTAGTGAGCTATATGAGTTAGTGAGCTATATGAGTTAGTGAGCTATATGACTTAGTGAGCTATATGAGTTAGTGAGCTGTATGAGATAGTAAGCTATATGAGTTAGTGAGCTGTATGAGATAGTAAGCTATATGAGTTAGTGAGCTATATGAGATAGTGAGCTATATGACTTAGTGAGCTATATGAGATAGTGAGCTATATGACTTAGTGAGCTATATGAGATAGTAAGCTATATGAGATAGTAAGCTATATGACTTAGTGAGCTATATGAGATAGTCAGCTATATGAGATAGTGAGCTATATGACTTAGTGAGCTATATGACTTAGTGAGCTATATGAGATAGTGAGCTATATGAGATAGTAAGCTATATGAGATAGTAAGCTATATGAGATAGTAAGCTATATGAGTTAGTGAGCTATATGAGTTAGCGAGCTGTATGAGTTAGTGAGCTATATGAGTTAGTGAGCTATATGAGTTAGTGAGCTATATGAGTTAGTGAGCTATATGAGTTAGTGAGCCATATAAGTTAGTGAGCTGTATGAGTTAGTGAGCTGTATGAGTTAGTGAGCTATATGAGTTAGTGAGCTATATGAGTTAGTGAGCCATATGAGTTAGTGAGCTATATGAGTTAGTGAGCCATATGAGTTAGTGAGCTGTATGAGTTAGTGAGCTATATAAGTTAGTGAGCTATATGAGTTAGTGAGCTATATGAGTTAGTGAGCTGTATGAGTTAGTGAGCTGTATGAGTTAGTGAGCTGTATGAGTTAGTGAGCTATATGAGTTAGTGAGCTGTATGAGTTAGTGAGCTGTATGAGTTAGTGAGCTATATGAGTTAGTGAGCTATATGAGTTAGTGAGCTATATGAGTTAGTGAGCTATATGACTTAGTGAGCTATATGAGTTAGTGAGCTATATGAGTTAGTGAGCTGTATGAGTTAGTGAGCTGTATGAGTTAGTGAGCTGTATGAGTTAGTGAGCTATATGAGTTAGTGAGCTGTATGAGTTAGTGAGCTGTATGAGTTAGTGAGCTATATGAGTTAGTGAGCTATATGAGTTAGTGAGCTATATGAGTTAGTGAGCTATATGACTTAGTGAGCTATATGAGTTAGTGAGCTATATGAGTTAGTGAGCTATATGACTTAGTGAGCTATATGAGTTAGTGAGCTATATGAGTTAGTGAGCTATATGACTTAGTGAGCTATATGAGTTAGTGAGCTATATGAGTTAGTAAGCTATATGAGTTAGTGAGCTATATGACTTAGTAAGCTATATGAGTTAGTGAGCTATATGACTTAGTAAGCTATATGAGTTAGTGAGCTATATGACTTAGTAAGCTATATGAGTTAGTGAGCTATATGACTTAGTGAGCTATATGAGTCAGTGAGCTATATGACTTAGTAAGCTATATGAGTTAGTGAGCTATATGACTTAGTAAGCTATATAAGTTAGTGAGCTATATGACTTAGTAAGCTATATGAGTTAGTGAGCTATATGACTTAGTAAGCTATATAAGTTAGTGAGCTATATGACTTAGTAAGCTATATGAGTTAGTGAGCTATATGACTTAGTAAGCTATATAAGTTAGTGAGCTATATGAGTTAGTAAGCTATATGAGTTAGTGAGCTATATGAGTTAGTGAGCTATATGAGTTAGTGAGCTATATGAGTTAGTGAGCTATATGAGTTAGTGAGCTATATGAGTTAGTGAGCTATATGAGTTAGTGAGCTATATGAGTTAGTGAGCTATATGAGTTAGTGAGCTATATGAGTTAGTGAGCTATATGAGTTAGTGAGCTATATGAGTTAGTGAGCTATATGAGATAGTGAGCTATATGAGATAGTGAGCTATATAAGTTAGTGAGCTATATAAGTTAGTGAGCTATATGAGTTAGTGAGCTATATGAGTTAGTGAGCTATATGAGTTAGTGAGCTATATGAGTTAGTGAGCTATATGAGTTAGTGAGCTATATGAGTTAGTGAGCTATATGAGTTAGTGAGCTATATGAGTTAGTGAGCTATATGAGTTAGTGAGCTATATGACTTAGTGAGCTATATGAGTTAGTGAGCTATATGAGTTAGTAAGCTATATGAGATAGTGAGCTATATGAGTTAGTGAACTAAATTCAGTGATCATTAAAAGTTAATGAGTTATATAAATAGTGAGTTGTATAATTGAGTGAGTTATAGGCGTCAGTGAACTATGTGAGTAGTGAGCTATATGAGTCGAGTCAGTGAGCTATATAACTTGTTGAGCTATATGATTCAATGCGTGTATACATAATGGATACGCCAAGTCGCATCTATAACATCCAATTACTAGACTGCTATGAAGCTTGCGATGGTGACCTGCAGCGCCCAATGATCTACAGAAGGAAAGAGTGGACGGAATCCCCGCCAAGATATGAGAGCAGACGGGAAAGGTGCTCAACCACTGCTGACCTGCAGAGTTCAAGGCCGCGATATCAGACCAATCGGTTTATTGGGCGTGACAGGTTGGTTTCTTTGTTCGTACGGTCTTACAGTTCACGGGTGCAGTTTTTATGGAGATCCCTGTGGATCGTCGCCGGAGCTATGGAATTCGTGCTCCGGGGTAAATGGAGGAACGTCGTTGTAGCTACGAAGTTGCGTGCGGACAGCGACACAGGCGGACAGTTTCTTATCAGCTGACCGTACTGGTGGCAGAGCACTTATGGTTTATAACCGTGTGCAATGATGCTGTTTCACATCTCCCTACTTTTTTGCCTAGCATAGTACGTAAATGTTTACATTATGTCGTGACTACTTTCCTTCTATCGTCTGAAGACAGTGTCAATGTTTGACACTGATAGCATAGCATTGGTAAAAATACTGTGTTGAACAGTGTTCTTTTAGTGTTCATATTCACATGCTTGCATTTCAAACTTGGTGTCAATTGGCCTACAACTTGATTAGCTTTACTGCATCTGTTGGATTTCTTTATTAATTCTTCCGCCTTCTTAAAAAAAAAAAAAAAAATGCTTCCTATGTATGTGAAATTCTTCGCCTGCTTTAACTGGTGCTCATCGGTTTTGATATTGGTTGTTCTTCTGTTCTGTAGAATATTTCAGTTATCGACTCATTATGATGTCCAAAAAAAAAAAACTCTGATGCCCGCCAATAATTTTTAGAACATATCTTGGGTCCAGTTTCAGAATGGATAGACTTGGGAGTCAAGACTTGCTATGAGAAACAAATCAGCCCGGGTGCAATAAACAGTCGTACGTCTTTTCAAAGTGAAGTTGGTCTCGTTGGAGAAGTTATCAAGCTGTGTGCCTCGCATTGCAAAGGTCGTGGGTTCATTTTCACGTTTGGTTCACGGATGCAGATTTTACGGAGCTCCATGAAGACGGTGCTGAAGCTACGAAATGTGTTTTGTCCAACACTCTCGGTAGCCAACCCGCCAGCCATTCAGCGGAGAGACACCCAACCATGTGGGTTCAGCTCAAACTGGGTGCAGTGAGATCCATCCTATCGACTCAAACTTTAACTTAACTCGATCTTTTCAAAAGGAACTCCCGTGGTGCCGCGACAAGACGCTAGGTTGCGGTTCCGAAGGGTATGCATTCAAATCTGCATAGGCCTGACTTTGGCTCTTAGGTCTGCCCAGCCTTATGTGGGTATCAGGTGAATCTCTGGAAGTAAAGGCGGCCGGCGTTATCACATCACTTATCGAGTAATCTATATAAAAATGTTCTAGCCTCATAGACCTGATACGCCACTAGTGTGTAAGTGGACCTTTGCTTAACATTACTTTACCTTACTTTACAACACTTTACCTTGCTTTTCTCCACTTTATCGTACTTTACATTATTTTACTTTACATCAATTTATCTTACTTTATTTCATTTTACCCTACTTTTACTTCCCTTTACTTTATTTCTCTTTAATTTACTTCACTTTACTTTACTTCACTTTAATTTACTTTGCTTTACCTCATTTTACTCACTTTACTTGGCTTTTTTTTTTCACTTGACCTTACTTCACTTAAATTTACCATACTTTATTTGTCTTTACCGTTTTTAACTTTACAGCACTTTATTTAACTTTATTGTGCTTAACTTGTTTAACTTTACTTTATTTCAATTGACTTTACTTTCTTAAACTTTCATCATCATCAAGTGCCTTGCCAGCTGGTGTAGGTGTTCATGCATCTTCACAGATCTTGGTCTTTGGTGTTCTGGATCAGTTCCACTGATGATGTACCTTCATGCCACTGTCTTAAACCATCCACTATCATTTCTCTTGGTCTGCCTCTGCCTCTTCTACCAGTGATCTTTCCAGTTGTCACAATATTTTCCAGTGCTCTTTTTCTGATCACTTGTTGTATATAATGTTCTACTTTCCTTAGCTATTTCCAGGCAATCATTGTTAGTTATTCTGACAGTTCAAGATATTGGGAACATTCTTCTCAAGAATCACATCTCATTTGCCTCCAAACTCTTCTTCATTTGTTTGCTCGCATTCCAAGATTAACTGCCATACAACAGAACATACTTTTTTTATGTCAATTTATTTTGTTTAACTTTACTCTGCTTTTATTTATTCAGTTTTCCTTTACTTCACTTTACTTTGCTTTATTTAACTTTACAATACTTAACCTTATTTTACATTAATTTTTTTAAACTTTACTTTACCTCATTAAACTTTATTTAACTTTACAATACTTAACCTTATTTTACATTAATTTTTTAAAACTTTACCTTATTAAACTTTATTTAACTTTACAATACTTAACCTTATTTTACATTAATTTTTTTAAACTTTACTTTACCTTATTAAACTTTATTTAACTTTACAATACTTAACCTTATTTTACATTAATTTTTTTAAACTTTACTTCACCTTATTAAACTTTATTTAACTTTATAATACTTAACCTTATTTTACATTATTTTTTTTTAACTTTACCTTATTAAACTTTATTTAACTTTACTAAATTTTACTTTACCTCAACTGCACTTAACTTTACATTTAAAAGTGAAAAATTATTGGTTGACTGTCGTTGTCTCCATAGAATCCTGGACAACATGGATCCATGTGATGATGTGTCCCTGAGAGCGACAGACTGTAGTCCGTGTGCCACTCAAAGACAGACCTCGGTACGGTTCCGGCCCTCAGCGCCTGCTGGCTATGGCATGTCTGAAGGTAACTCGTGTGTGATCTCTTCTTTTGCAGGGATTCCAGTGCTGGAAACAGAACTGAAAGGAGAGAAAGAAACAATGTAGTGGAAGCGTTTTTTTTTTAATTTTAAAGAAGAAAGTTGGAATAAAACGGTGAAGGGGGGGGGGGGGGGATAATTTTGTGGACAGCGAAGAAAATTTCTGCTACTGCTGCTATTACTGCTGCTACTACTGCAACTACTACTACTGATGTTGCAGCTACTACTACTGCATCTGCTACAACAACTACTACTTCTTCTTCGTCTACATCACTTTTAACAAGGCGACTGGTGTGCTGGGTTGCGGTTTACAGCTACTCTGTGATACTTGCACATGTTGCCCTCAGACATCCAATTTCACAACATTCTTAATAATTTGATTTTTAAGACATGCTTATTTACTCGTGGAACATATCAGTATTACACGGTGTCGCAGAGTTAGTGAAATTGTTTCACAATGCAAACCTGGAGGTTTACCAGGGCTTGATTCTCGCAGCCAACTTCCGTTGTGACGATGAAGTAAGTTGTCAGTACTACAGTATGTTCCCATGTGTGTTGAATGTTGAATCCTCTTCTTCTTTGCGTTCGCCAGCTGTAAACTCATGTGGAAAGTTCTGGTTGTTCATCCACTTCTGAACTGCAGTCCTGTTCTAAAACTGACATATCTGACTAATTTTGTGCAAACTGTTGGTTCCTTGGCTCTCAGGCAAATGCACTCCGACTTCGAAGGAAGCTTTTAATTAGTCGACTCTTACAAATACTTTTTGGGCAGGCAGTGGGTCTATTCTTGTTTTTCCTATAATAGGGTCCCGGGACCCACACAAGGAATGTTGAATCAAGAATCGACATCATACCACTCGGGACGCTCCTATAAACGCTCCATCCCCATCTTCAGCAGCAAGTGAAGAGCTCCAATTCCGATGGTACTAGTAAATATATGATTGTAAATCCGTCTTGCCCTTCTCTTCACTGTTGAGCATCAGCCAGATCCCCTGGTAACTCCTTGCAGCGCCATTCTCCTCAGACCATAATGATTTATTTGTGCCTCCGCACTGTTGAGCATCAGCCAGATCCCCTGGTAACTCCTTGCAGCGCCATTCTCCTCAGACCATCATGATTTATTTGTGCCTCCGCACTGTTGAGCATCAGCCAGATCCCCTAGTAACTCCTTGCAGCGCCATTCTCCTCAGACCATGATTTATTTGTGCCTCCGCACAAGGCCCCTCACAACATCCAGCTAGAGTTCCTGAGTGTATATATATATATGATGTATGTATAAGTGTATCCCAGCTGCAGGCCATGCGTCTTGTGTTGGTTTTGACAGTGGTATATAGGGGACTGACCGCCCAGAAAGCCATGGCAAACTACTGGATGTAAATTTGCCTAGAGTAACAACCAGGGGCTGCTGGGGTTGGTTCTGCAAGGATACGCAACTAACTCTATGTATAAGTGTGTGTGTGTGTGTGTGTGTGTGTGTGTGTGATGGATATATTACATGTGTGGATTTGTATATGTAGAAATAAGTTATTTACTTATTGTACCAGACAGTAATCGACTTGCTGTTGTTGCAGGTCGCACCTGCTCGGAGACTCCTATGGAAAGAAGTTATCTAAGGTATGGAGGTTGGTTTTTGCATAGACGACATGTGAATGTGTTTAGTTGTTTGTGCTGTTTAATTATTTATGGCGGTGTGGGTGTTTCTAAGTAGGTTTTTCTTCCAGCAGAAGAAGAAGAAGAAGACAAAGAAGAAGACAAAGAAGAAGAAGAAGAAAAACAACAATAACAAAAACAATAACCTTTAGTATGTCACTGCAGACTTTACACCAACATATAATAACAAGCACACAATATGAATTCTTTCCATGGTAATACACAAATAACGTCTCTTTGCACACCGTACATCTTTCTGGAGGAAGTTTAAGATGAACACATGTGATCACCACGGAAGTCTAAAGTTGAGCCTGTGATTACCTGACCAGATACAGCTAAGTATGCCATGCTGTGCATTATATTTTGTGTGTGCTTCCATTCTTAAAATTCCATAGACAGTATCTCTCTCACACACACACAAACAAAGAGCAGACTGGATGTTTTGAAAGAGCGACAGCTCGTAGACAACCATTTCATAATGGTCGCCTAAGACCTTCGTAAAACACATGTTTACTGAAGTTATGAAGTAGCAGCAAAATTTGTCTTTTTTTTTAAATGGTGGGGGGTGGAGGTCACCACAATATTAGGAACTGTATTGAAGGGTCGCAACATTAGGAAAGTTGAAAATCACTGCTGTAGAAGATAGCAGATTTGGAAAAACATGATCGTCTATTATAGTCATCAAAGCACTTGATGATGATGATGAAGATTGTTATTTAATTTAATAATAACCAGGGTCTGTGTGGGACAAATTCATTACATCGAAAAGGTTTCCCACTTTGGGGCACATATATTGTGTTGGGGACATCAATATCAGTACCCGAAAGCATTATCCCTCTCAGGAGCCTTTTTTCTCTATTTTCAATGTGGAGGAAACCCTCACCATCTTGAGGCTTTTTTCTTCTTTGTCTATGTTGCGGGACATGCCGGAGGGTTGTTTTAACATCTATTTTTAAATGTGGAGGGTTATTAGTATAGCCTTAAGAGCAAAAACCCCTCGGAAAATGATATGGGTTTCTTCCTCCTATACTACTACATTGTTTATCTGTGCAGATGTTCTCCAAACAGCACAGCCGGCAAGGAGATCTCATCCAATCCCTGTACAAAAGTCGACCCAAGACCCGGAGCTTCTGGAAGTTGTGTTAACTATTTTGATGAGAGCAGCTCGTCTTCAGAATTTGACGTCAGCCTCAACCTGGTCTAAGGCATAGAAAACTTCTTTTGTATTCGCCCTGAAAAGCGTAAGTACAACTAGGTTGTGATATCTGCACTTGTTAGTCCAACACATATGATTTCATTAGATCCCTAATTAGTCACTTTTTTATGACATGCTTGTTCAGCCACCCACCCCTCCCCACCACATCCCATTTTCTCCCATCATAGTCCCACAACCCATTGGGGGAGAGGGGGGAATTTCCATTAAAAAAAAAGGTTGGCATTAAATAAATACCCTTCACTCAACATGATCTTGGAGTATTTTACAATTTGCATATGTGTCTTCATTTAAAATTTAATTCCGGATATATACACATACATTCATGTGTGTGTATAATATGTGAGTGTATATTTTATATGTGTAATATATATATATATAATGTTCCAACAGCCACACATAAATAACATCATAACCACTCTTTATGTACAAAAATCATTTTAATATTTCAAGGCACAATGTAACAACAACAACAACGGTGATCAACTGAAAGATACAAGAAACATATTTGTGAGTTTGTACAATGTGATTGTACAACCAACACACAGCATCATGTGGCCCGTGCAAGTTAAAATGTTTGACGGGGAAGTAACTGAAACTAAATGAAACAGATCTAGAAATTGATGTTAACTGACAAGATTGTTAGGGAAACACTTGGCACAAGATAAATGTATAGGCACTGACGTAGAAGAAAGAAATAGAGAAAACAGACAATACCTGACAATATAATTATTGAAAGTTAGTTAGTCTTTCCTCTTGTGTCGAGTGCGGCACATAGGGCAGAGGTCGTGACTCTCCATGCACAGCGGTCCGTTGCAATCCGTTGTAGGTCTTGGATGTTTGTGTGGCCCATGAGCGAGCTTTCCCTGATGATAGTTCTACGTAGGGTTTCCCTTGGTCTTCCACGAGATCTTTTCCCCTGTGGTGTCCAAATGAGGGCTTGGTAAGGAAGTCTTGATTCTAAGGGCGTGGCCGACATAGTTCCAGCGGCGTTTTCGTATAAAATTAGACACATACTCTGCCTGGATTCTTGCCTTATTTGTGTATTGGTTCGGAAATCTGACCATTTGAAATTTAGTATTCTTCTAAGGCATTTATTTTCAAATATTGAAAGATTTGGCTATATTATGTCTCAATATAGTTGGCACCAGTGCCAGAGTTAGCAAAGTGCAATTTTAGTGATGTTTCACCTAACTGCATTTTTAAAGTGATGTTTCACTTAACTGCATTTTTAAAGTGATGTTTCACCAAAGTGCTTTTTTTTTTAAAGCTATGTTCACCTAAATATAATTTTTAGCAATGTTTTTTTAGCAAACCTTAGTGCTAAATTCACCTAAGTAAAATGTCTCTCTTAAGTGCAGTTGTAATTCGCCTAAGTTCAGTTTTAGCAGTGTTCGCCTAAATGCATTTGTTTTTTTATATGCAATTTTTTTAGTGGTGCTCATTTGTGTGTGATTTTAGCAGTGGTAACCTAAGTGCGATTTTGTTTATCTAAGTGTGTAGTTTTAGCAGCGTGTGTACTTTTTATGATGTTCTCACCTTAGTACGATGTTAACCCGCCCCCCCCCCCCCCAAGTGCAATTTAAACACATTTCCCGTATGTGCCATTAAAAAAAAAAAGCAGTGCAGTTATTTTACCAGTCCACCTAAGTGTCTTTTAAAAAAACAGTGATCACCTAAGTGCAGTTTTATTTGCCGCACTTCACCTAACTGCATTTTGAAACAGTGTTTTCACCTAAGTGCAACTCCAGCTGTTTTCGCCTAAATGCATTTCAGCAGTGTCGCCCAAGTTGGCATCCAAACAGTTACCTAAATGCAATTTTTTTAAAGCAGTGCAGATTTTACATTTTAACAGTTTAAAAAGTGCAAATTTAGTAGAGTACACATAGGTGCATTTTTTTTTACCACCAATGTTCACCTAAGTGCAATTCTGGTAAGCAGTGTTCACTCGAATGCAACTTTACCACGGGGGGGGGGGGGGGGGGTAATAGTGTTCACCTAGGTGTTATTTCAGCCTGTCGCTTAAGTGCAATACTAGTAGTGCACCCCTAAATGCATTTTTTAAAACAATGCCACCTAAGTGCAATTTTAGTGATAGCTAAGTGCAAGTACGGCAGTAAGTTCAGTGTTATGTCACAGAGATGATATGGTTAGAGTGTTGAGTTTAAACCTCAGGTTACTGTACCCCTAGGCAGCCCCA